GCTGCCTGGGTGGGTTTGTTTTTTTTTTTTTTTTTCAGGTAGAACCTCCTCCATGTTGAGGTCTGGATGTTCACTGAATACCAGTGTGCTTCCCAAGTGGGCTCCTCCTTTAAAAGATGAAGCAACTGATCATATCTCAGTGTGGGTGGGAAAGAGAAGATCCTAGCTATGGAGTAAATTGTACATAGTTCTCCATTATCTAAGAATAATTAGCTGTATCTGTTGTTGGGTTTTTGTTGTTTGTTTTGTTTTTTAAGCTGGGAAAAGGATGGTACTAAACAATACTCACGTTTTTTTCTTAGATTTTTCTCTATAAAGAGTTTATTTTAAAACCCAATTCTACATTGGATTCAGTTTAGACTCAATATGACATAGAGTTTGTAAATTAATTTCCTTCACTTTGGCACTTCCTTGGCATCAAAGCAAGTAGAAAATTTTACTTAATTACAGCAACATTTTCTTAGATAGAGTCTGTAAGGTTTGCCTTAGAGAAGTAGACTAAGGGCAAGAATGGTGTGTGGACTTAAGTCACTCTTGAAAATTCCATCCAGTATAACTGTACTTGTGCAAAGGTGATGTGTCAGTGGTGACACAGAAACAGAAGAGTAGTTTCTGGTAATCTAGTCAGCCTGCCCATCTACCTCATGACCAACATCCATGAGCAGTCTACGAGCATTCAAGGTCAGGCAGAGTTGTGTGAGTATATTTCTGTGCTTACCTTTTGTAGCATTCAGTGTCTTAAAAAGAAAAAAAAAGGAAATGAAAGGAGAATAAAATGTGTCTTTTTCTTCCCATTCTCATTTGATTCAGTGTGGAGCTGAAAACATCAGAAGAGCGGAGTCTCTTAATGGAAATCCATTGTTCTCTAAGGTACCGCCGTGTTACAACTGTTTTAGTAGAACATAGTGTAGAGTGGTCCCTCTGAGAAGCTCTTGCAGAATATTGGTTTTCTCACATATTAGTACATTTGGAGTTCCAATTAATTACAAAACTAGGAGTGAATTCCTTCTCTGCTCCTCCTTTTTCCTTTAGGTAGCCCTAGTCTCCTAATTCTGCCCACCTACAGTTGCCTTGTTTTAAATCTGCCTTTCAGTGAAAGGGTGCAGTGTGTGGGGTAAAAGGACCTATTTCCAAAAGACTCCTGTTTAACTCTGCCTAAGCTTATGACTCTAGAAAGGACTCTGTTTTACAATTCTGGTCAACTCAGTTGAAAAGAAACAGCAACCAGAGCAGTTTTCCCTGGGATGAGTGGAGGGTGTGCCCTGCACACAGGGCCAGCAGATCTCTCATCTCAGATGGCCCTGTACTCTGTGTCTTGCAGGCCTTGGCTGATTTGGTATACTCACACATCCAGTCAAACAAGCTGTGCTCCACGCAGTTGACTCTGAGCTGTCCGCTCTGTGTAAATCCTGTCTGCAGGGAGACTAAATCCTTCTTCACCAGCCAGCAGCTGTGACCCTGCCTGAGGACCCGTGGGATTCACAGATGCACAACCTCCAGACACCTCCAATGGGGATGGAAGCCACATAGCCTGTACAGAGCCTGTGGACACAGATCATGATTTCTTTCTTGCCTTTATTTTATTTTACTTTAATTTTTGCTTTCTTGTGTAGTCCATGCTGGCCTCCAATGGGCCTCCTGCTCACATTTCCTGAATCACAGACATGCAAACTTGTGTTTCTTGGGGAATGGACTCTGAAATTGTTACTGAGGTTTCTATTTTCATACACACATACAGTGAATACTCACAACCCTTTCTGGGGTCAATTTACTCGTGTGAAGTATCTGCTGTGAAATTCCAGGAGTGAGTTTTAAGTATTTATCTTATGAGACACACACAGATTCTGCACTTACTGCCCCAAACAGCCTCCTAAAATAGTATTTTGAATCCCCTCTATGTGCTACCAGTGGTGAATGAGATGTCTACAGCCTCATTGATGTGGGTTAAGTGAATATAGTTAATTTATGAAATATAATTTGTAAAAGAATTGGGCTGAGGGCATAGCTTAGTGATTATGTGCTGGCCTAGCATGCATGAGGCTCCTAGTTTGATCTCCTTCAGTACATGTCGATATTATGATACCTATTCTTTCCTTAAGTCCATAGGTACCAGGATGCTGATGAGTTGGTGTGGTCATCTATCATTGCTTCTATTGTCAGTGCGGTCACCGGTCATTGGTCATTGTGGTGTCTGTAGAAGAGTCTCATTTTCCTCCCCTGAACCTGAAACGAGTGCTCATTTCAAAAGTGCTCTGAGATTTCCCCAGGCACATAGCCTGATAAACATATGGAAATTCAGTCCTTGCTGAATATGCCTTAGTTTGAGTCCATGGTGCCTCAGGGAAGGTGGGGCTCTGTCTGCTTCCTGTTTCCAAGGACAGTGCCACCAGGAAATACCACTGATGGATTTGGTCTCCCTGGGACCAAGGAGGCTCCTAGCATTGTCCTGCTCTTAGTTGAATGCCTCTGTTCTCTGCTTACTTGTTGGAAAATTACTTTATAAAGTTGACTGTGTCTGGTAACCTTGAATTTTCTTCATTAATAAGTTTTGTTATGAAATGATGTAGTCATAGAATAGGCCATTTGTAAAACACAGAGAAGAGATATAACCAGTCTAATGTAATAATTATCATTTTATTCCAGCCCTTTCCTGTGGATAGTACACACACACACACACACACACACACAGACAGACAGTTTATATTGATTCTTTTAAGAATTTCAGCATATCCCATCAGAGTCACTTCATTTCCCTCCTAACATATCCCTGCCTGGATATGTAATGAAAAGTTGTTCTAAAAAATGTAAGAATTGTGTCAGAACAGAACCTGATACTCTGAATTCGAATTTAAATGGATTTTAAAGTCTTTGGGATCCTCCAAGGATTTGTAATAATCACTTTCTCTGAAACTTTGTTCTTCAAAAAGAATACTTCTTTGAGCTTTTTTTTTTTAAATAGAAAAACAGTTCATAAAGTGGAAGTAATTAGGAGGATGCATAGATATTCTATACTGAGGATTTACTATTAATAAACATTATGGCTTTAGTCTGTTTGATTTGTGCTGTCTCCATAAGCTGGCCCAAAATCAAGGGAGCATGCTTTCTATTCTCTCTAAGACTTTTCATATGCTGATAATGGCTTCATATTTGAGTAATATCTCCCTTTTGTTACTAATTTGACTTTATCTTCATTAGTAGGCAGTTTCTAGAGAAAGATCAAAGGTCTGAGTACTTTGGAATGTCCCTGTGTCCATTTCATCACCTTTTGGGGATTAGGTTTAGAGCAGGCCGAGAGTCCCACAGTGAATGGATGTCTCAGGGTTAGTGGCCCCTGTTGGCAGGCACTTATGCTCACAGCCATTATCCCCCCTTCAGGGAACTTACTTGTCATCAGTCTTGGCTCTTCAGCAGTTTTTCAGATGAAAATGAATTGGCATGAGATACTGCAGGAAGTTCCAGTTCAGAAGTCACTGCTAGAGTATCCGAAGCCCCACCCCTCCATTTGCAAAGCCAACTTTGAATGAGTTGTCTGGAACTGTATCACTGGCACTGAATTTTGAGCAGACTGCCCTTTGAGAGGCATTTATGGGAATCACTGTTGGTGGCACCTTCAATCATAGATAAGTGAGGCTCACATAGCAGGGTAGCATTTGGCAGGATGGGAATCTTTTTAAACCTGATGAATCTTTGAGAGTTATCCTGTTTGTCAGCTTTGAAGTACAAATGTTTGCACTGGTAATTGGCAATGAACTGCTGGTGTGTCTTGAGCTACTATGTGTACAGACCTGGCTCTTAACTGATCCAGAAGATTGGTCGGTGCTGAGAAGGTTCAGGCCGCTGGTGCCATTTCTAGAAGCCAGGAGGAGGATGCTTTCCCATAGACCTGTGTGAAGGATTCTGCCTCAGAAGTGAACTCATTGTTAACTTCAACCTCACATCAGGACTGAGTTAGAAACCCGTGCCTTTTAATTCCACTGTTTTCTCAAAGTGTGTGTGCTTACTCACATAACCAAATTGTAGGGGAAGCTGTAGCCATGTCTACTTAGGGGCTGGCTACAGGGGTGCCTGACCATGCTTGTGAGGACGTGGTCAGAGTGACGTAGTGTGACTGAGTTTGCTCTTTTGGTTTCACTTTGCTTCTTGCGGTACAGACTGCTACCACGCCGGCTGGCTAGGTCGCTCTGTAAGTAAGGCTTTTCCCTATTAAATACCCTTATATTTCTACCTGACTCCGTATTGGTAATTTCCCACTAAACCCCATGAGCAGGTGTAGTGGTTCTTTGGACTCTTACTATTTTCATTATGCCTGAAATTAGTTAGCCACAATCATTTATGAAGAAAAAGTAGGTTTTTCCATCTAAAGATGCCCAAACTAAGCCAGTCAACAACCCTCAGGTAATATTAGGGCCTTTATGTTTTCAGCTGATCTTGAAAATAGATTCCCCTTTCTTCCTCTTGATGGCATAGAATAGATCATCTAAAATAAAGGCGATGCATTTGGCTTCTTCCTCTAATCTGTTCTCATACTTTGGCATATAATTCAAGAAGTGCCATAGTTTAAGGCACCTGTTTCCTTGGTGTGAGTAGATTTATGTAAACTGTCATCAGAAAATGGAGG